ACACACATACACATACATATATGCACCCACATATACTTATGTCATATATTATGACACATAAAATATGTATGCTGCATATTGCATATATAAAACATTCCATATTAAAATTCTATATTCAATATTTCCTATTGCTTCAGTTTCTCTGGAGAACCTTGACTAACCTAAGGGCCTTGGTAACTTCCCAAATGAATTCTTCAACTTCCCCCAGAAGCCTCCACTTTCTCTGCTATTATGTGTGAGTGTGTGTGGGTCACTGGGAGGAAGAGAAGTCCAGGAGTCATAACCCGCCTCTGGCTTGGTGTAAAATAAAATAAGTTCTGGAGAAAGCACATGCACGAGTTCGCCATGACTCAGACGCTGAGGGCTTCAGACCTTGGCTAGCAGGCACACATTTGGCAAGTGTGCTCCGTCTTTCATAGACCTAAAGGCATCAAAACATCTGTGTTCCCATTAAGAAAATGCTGACATGATGCATAGCTGTAGTTTAGGAGAAACTGCCTGAGAGACAACCCCTCCAAGTGTAAGGGGTCATCTGTGACCGTCTGAGGTTTCAAGACTCTACTGTCACTGAGGTAGTTAGCTTGGAGTTGTCACTATGCCAAGGCTGACACTCTGAGGAAGACAGGCACATATGAGAACAAAGGCTTCAAGGATAGACCCTTCCCCTCTGCCCCCCGACCATGCACCCCCAAACCTTCCTAAAGGCTTTTCCTTGCCCACCATGGCTGGAGTGCAGTCTCTGTGTCTTAACTTCATTTATAAATTCAGCCTCAACAGCAGAGAGGCCTGGATGGGATGGGAAAAGTCAGGCCTACCAGGTTCTAGCATGGAGGCAGAGTAAGGTGGGAGTGTCACACACACAGAGATGGCTGTGTCCATCCCTGGGCCAGCAGGTAGGGTCTGGGGATATCAAATGTCTCTTGAGGTCCATTTTTTCCAGGGGCACTGGTTAGTTTTCAAGACAGGGGAGCGTGGTAAACTTTGAGGAGCATTTAAGCAAATCCTGTGAGAGACTGGACTAGGGGAAGATGGACAAGGATTTCCCAGAGGAGAGTTGGGTAGATGGAATATTCTGTTGGCCTCGTTGCTCTCAAGAACCTTAGAACTCCCCTACCCTGCTCCTAGCACTAGCTTGTATGTTCCAGAACCATCTATACCACCTCCATCCCTGCTTGGAAAGAGCTGGGTGGTGTGACGCCTGCGGTTACTTCTCTGACTGATTCACCTCTCTAACTGTCACTGGGATTGAGTTAGATGAAGTGCCAACCCCTTTCAAGAGTTTCATAACAGAAATGATAAATCTTGATTTTTTTCCCCTCAAAGATGGAAGAATTTCGCTGAGTGTCTTTTTTTTTGGTTGCACTTCAAATAAGTTATTAATTCAGAGAAATGGAGACCATTCTTCATTGCTGCTTGTCAGTGGATAAGCTGAATGTGGATCCAGGTGTTTTGTTTTCTTGTGGTGCTGGAGATTGAACCCAGGGTCTCATGCATGCTAGGCAAGTGGTGTACTACTGAGCCACATCTCCAGTCCCTAGAGCCAGGTTTTGAAGGGTCAGAAACTTAAACCATTTGTGGGAATCTCTTGAAGAAAAAGATTAAAACTGAGGTCACTTGAGGGCCCTGGAAGAAGCCTATGAAAGTGAGGGCACTGTCAGAGCTCTTTCCTGGGCTTTGAGGTATCCTTCCTGTGATATGGGGTTCTGTCCTTCCTGGGGTATGGAGTCCTCCCACCAGCCCTGTTTGGGTTGTCCTTGGTCCAGTCACAGCCTCAGTGAGCTTTCCCGCCAGAGCGGGGAGTCTGCTATGGAAGGCTGTGCAGAGCCTATGGTCCCCTTTTTCACGTGGGGCCTGGGACCCTAAGATGGGAAGGGACTACCCAAAGCCAGCACTTCTCTGAGCTTCAGGTAGAGGATGCCCAAGGGTCCAGCCTGTTTCCTGTCCCCTGCACCTGGCAGCCCCCTCAGGCTGACCTCAGTAAGAGTTACATTTGCAAAGAAGGAAATGATTTGTCCCCATGCCACAGCTCCTCTTGGCTTCTAGTAGTAGATGGTGGTGGATGTGGGAGAGTGTGCGCAGACACTCAAGGGTGGCAAGGATTCCCTCCCCAGACCGGAAAGAGCACGATGAGTAACAGGAGTGAAATTGAGACCCAGGGTCGGTGCCCAGTGATGTGAAAGTGATGCCATGCCCAGCTTTGAGAAAGAGGTGACCAAGAACCTGCAACCGATGGTCCAGCAAATGCAAGATGACACTGTGCATAGGCATGGGGCCAACCCAAAAGCCAAAATGGAGCAGGAAGTTAGCAGCAGGTGCTCTTTGTTTTGATGTGTGATTCTGTCTCATGAATTGTTTTGCAAGGGAGCATGCTTTCTTTCTACGATCAAGCAAGATGATAAAGCTGTCTCTGCTTGAAAAGGGGAAACATTTGAGTTCTGGGTTCCCATCCATGAGCCCATCTGTTCTCAAAACGAGGCCTCTTGACTTGTCCCATCAGGGTTCCGGCCTCATCACCCCACTCTGAGGTGGACTCAGTTATGCTTGGGCCTATGGATCGAGTTGCTGCCCTATTAGGAGCAGCGGCAGCACACACCCTGAGCCTTCCTGTGGAAGGCACTCACTCTCCCTGCTTCCCCAACAAGTCTTCCACAACCTTCCTATCTCCCTCTTCACTTGGTCAGGAAGGTTTTTAAGGTTTTACAGTTGCAACTGGCAAGATGTACATGTCTCACCCTTAATGACCATATCGGGGTAAGCAGCTGGTGCCTGTTGTCCTTTGGGCAGAAAGTGTCCCTAGAAAGAGAGAGCCAGCAGCACTGAGGTTAGAAATACCCAGGGGCTAAGTGGAAAACAGGCCTCTTTCCCTCCACATCCACACTCCCCCTTTTTCCTTACTTCCTGGAGCCCTACATAGGCGCTCCAGGTCCCCACCCAATGTTCCAGGCAGTGTGTTTGTCCTTCCCTGCAGAACACTTGGCACTGATGTCTCCCTGCTTCCAATATTGAGCCCTTCCATGTCCCGTGGGGCAGCTACTGTTCAACAAGCCCTCTCCCAGTGGCCAGGGCCCCTGAAGTTGCTCACTGGCTCAGTGTGGTGAGGGATCTCTCATCTATACCCCGCACCCACTTCCTGTCCCCACCGCCCAACCTCAAATTTGCAAAGGAGTAGAAATCTCCCATGGGATATCTTGGTTTATCAGATTAATCCCTAGTGCAAATTCATCAACAAGACCATTTACCACATGGGGTGTGTGAGAAAAAGTGAGTCAGCCCCCTGGGGAGCGAGGGCTGGAAGTCACAGACTCTACCACTCCTGGCTACATGATTTGGGCCAGTCTTTTGACTTTCTGCCTCCTTACCCTCATCTGTGGAATGGGGATAATTACAACGACAGTAATAATCACAAATGGAGACTACCCTTTTCACAGCGCTGCTGCCAGCCTGTCGCTGAAGTGGTCTTTGAGGGAGCAAGGTAGGTCTTTGTAAAATGTGAAGCACTTCACAATCATAACTGGCATGAACCATGAACCATGAACCATCTAGAAAGCAGCTTTTTCATTTTTTGTATGGAAGGGATGTGGGTGTGGGAACTCAGGTCCGGGTGGGAGGGCTGGACAGTGCCAGGCAGGTAGGAGATTGCAGGAGGTCACTGCCCACTGTGCCCCAGGACCTGCGTGGGAAGGACTATGATGGGGGAGGAGGAAGGAAAACAAACAACTTCTTTTCCCGGCAGTGGCGGTCAGGGCTATGCCTCATCAGGCCCTGGTTATGGTGGAGGCCAGAGAGCTCCCGTGGATTAACGAGTTCCAGGGGCAACTGGGAACTCAGCTTTGTCAAAAGCATCCATTGAATCCAGCCAGTGAGTCATCTACTTGGTGAGAGCTCCAAGGTGCAGAGGCCTGGCAGCCTCCCTGGGAAAGCGAGCGGCTGTGGCTCCACTTCCACTGTGACCATGGAAGTGCTCCACTGGCGGGATTGGAAGTCACCCAGGCTGCAGAGGCCACATGCCTCAGCTAACCAGTTGCCCTGCTGACTTCTAAACAATTTTTTAAAAAATTATAAAGCTAATACTCAATGAACAAAACAATTCAGTATAATAAAAAAACAAGATAAAAAATAATCTATAAGCAATCTTCTTGGTCTTGATGTGGCTCCTTTCTTCCCTGATACAAGTCAGGCTGGAGAAGGCTGTGCCTTATAACAATGGTCTCTGGTTGAATATGAATAACCTTAGCTGAGACCTGCTCACCCCCACAAGGTCAAGGTCCAATCACACCCCATTGGATACACCCCTCCTTCACACTTTCTCATGTATTAGCTCTTAAAAGCAATTGCGATTGGAAACCTTGAGCCTTTTATCATTAAGTGTGAAGTTTAAGTTGGCTTAAGTTAGATGGTCTTCCTCAATGATAAATACAATCCTCTTTTTCCCCACTTTTTATGGCTTTAGAAAAGACATTGCACATAGGTGTTGACTTACTGAATGTCTCTTTAACCCTATGGACTTTTTCTGTTTTCTCTGGTATGATTGTTTAAGTGTAGGAATCAGTGGGCATTCTTGTCTTTCCTGTTTTGTCATCATGCTCTTCCTTTAAAAAATGACTAAGGGAGAGAGAATGAAAAAGTTCACCAAGTCTCAGATTTTGGGGCCTGAATTTAGCATGATGAAGGTGCATCTTTGGAGTAACAGAAGTAGTGATTATAAGGAGCTTTGGGTTCAAATGATTGTCCAGCCACCCGTCATTAGTCACAGGCTTGCCATTGTTTTGGGTTTTTTTGAGGGGTAAACTGGGGTATGATACGTGTGCTTGGGGTGTTGTCTGGTGACCTAACTGGGCTGATATTGTGGACCTATAGCCCTGGGCAGGGCCTGGAGAGGCCGCTTTCATGTGGTGCTTAGCAAGGCACTAGGGAGGTTTGGACCCTGTGGTTCTAGAATCCCATGGCATGAGGGCAGGCCTGAGCCAGGCACGATGGGTGGCGCTGTCCTTTGTCCACAGAACTGTCTCAGCAAGCAGCAGGTCCTCACTACCATCCGCCAGTTGCAGCAGCTGCTGAAGGGCCAGGAGACCCGCTTCGCTGAGGGCATCCGCAACATGAAGACCCGGCTGGCCGCACTGCAGAACTCTGTGAGCAGGGTGGCCCCAGATGCCCCTCCAGGTGGGTCCCCAAATCAGCACTGCTGGTGTCATAGATCTACACACAAATACCTCCCCTCCACACTCACACACTCAGCTGCCACGTCCCGCACCAGTGAGCTGTACCTGCCACAGCCGATAAGTCAACGTGGCTCTGGTTTTTCAGGCACGAAAACATGCTCTTCAATTAGACCTCCATTAGTGCTGGGGTGGGATGGGAGAGTGAGCTGTCAAGGATAAATCCCACTTGTCAGGTTGCACTGGGTACCCTTGTCTACCCCCACTGAGGGTAGGGCTCTGACAGACACTGGGGTACTTTTTCCTGGTTGTCCTGGTAAAAGCTTTTCCACTATCAAGGCCCAGAGATGGACAAACTGGTTTTCTCCTGTCCTGGGGAGGACACATTTATTCTAAGTCATGGACCTATGGACTACCCGACATCATTTGCTCCCTTCAGGTCACTTATCAAAGGCCTTCTTGGCTGTGTGAGATAAAAGTTTCCTGGGGAAGGTGTTGGGTTTCCTGCTTCGTCAGAGGTTATGGTAGCTAATCCACAGTCTCAACAGCACCGAGTCAACTCCTGTTTTCCTTGGCTCTGAGGGGCAGAAGTAGCCCTGCCAACCAAGCCTCACACTTGCCAAAGCACTGTGAGCCCTTGGTGGGGCTCCACACACCCAAACTCCACAAGGCAGTCAGGGTGTCATTCTTCCCTACTGCAGGTGGAGGAACTGAGGCCAGGAGAAATGGGTTAGTAGCCTCAGGTCCCTAATCTACTAATCTTCTTCCTGATAAAGGCTCAACTCCATAGAACTTTCCTTTTTTTAGGGTATTGCAAAGAGCCACCTGTGGTCCCAGGGAGTTTCAGTGAAGAGCCTGCAAGGAACACTTTCTAAAAGGGCCCAGCCTGTGTGAGAGGCCCCTGCCCACTAGATAGATGGAAAGGTAGCTATTATGACATCATCAGTGCTCTTACCTCAGACTCAAGGGCTTTATTCCTTGAACCATGTTAGATTTTAGAAAGTGGCAAGGTCTCTTCATTTATTTATTTAGGTTTTCTGAGACACGGTCTCACTATGTATCCCAGGTTGCCCTGGAACTCAGGCTCCTCCTGCCCTACTCCTGATTAATGGGATTACTGTGTGCCTCCACATCTGCTCTGCGAATTCTCTTTTTAAAAGATTCTCACTATAGATTGTGTCTTTCACGGTATGTGTTGGACCTTGTACTGAGTGCTTCATGTCTAGAGGCTAAGCCCATGACCACCCTGCAGAGGGCAGGCCACTATCAGGACCCTGCTGCTGAGGGAGGTAGGGGACCACACCTGGGTCTTGGGGAAGATCAGACAGTTACCCCAGACCAAATGGCCAGTAGTGGGGAAATTTTCTTTTTTTGCATTTTCTCAGAGTCCAGAAAAGTAATTTCTAGTCCAGGAGACGTCTTGGTCTTCCTCTTCCTGGCGTCCATACATGTCTCTTCCTCTTGTTCACCCTGCCTCTCTTCACAATACATCAGCTTCAGGACTCATTCCCTTTCCATGTCTCTAAGTCACTGTGATTACTTGACTGCTGACCTATCTCGTTCCTGACACATTAATGCCATTCTAGGAGGTACAGGATTTTTAGGTGGCCCCAAGACCAAGGAGCATATTTCTCGCCGCCACTGGAGCAGAGGCCTTCAGCTCGCCGTTAGGAAGTGAGTGCAGATTAATTTTTAAATAGTCAGTATCTATTCACTCATTCCTCCCACATTTAATGAGCACCTGCTATCTGCCAGATACTATTCACTCTATTCAGTTATGATTTCTCTGTGAGTTGTTTCTGCAGGCAGCTTTTCTCTCTTGAGGTAAAGATTTCTCATCTCCAAAGAGACCTTACTTCTTTTCCCCCAAAACATTTAAAACCCTTTCAACACAAGAAAAGAGTTGCTTTTACAAGAGAACTGCAGAGTCTCTTAATTTCACAACCTATGAGCCCCAAAGCCACGTGAACTCCCACCTGCTTCCTTCTTACAAGGTTATTACTACACAGTGCCAGTTTAGAGCGTCACTGTAAGAAGTGACACAGCAATGGTCAAACAGTCCTCAACAACCAGGGGCCACTGAGAGAACTTGGAGGGGTAGCTCCTGCCCTCCTCCCCCTCCAGGTTGTTATGGTTGCTCCGCAAAGGACCCCAGCTGTGTCTGGCCAGGTGGGCTACGGGCACAGAGTCACAGCAGCCAGCCTGCTGCCCTCTGGGCTCTCTGAGGGCTGAGTTTAGTCTGTCCTATTCGCTAGTGTATCTCACCTGCCTGGCACAACTCAAGAAATGACATTTCATTCTTTCATTTGTTCAAGAATCATTTCTAGAGCACTCCTTGTGTGCCAGGCACTTGGCTGGTGCTGAGGATGCAGTGGGGACGTGCACTGGGCTGCATCCTGGCAGAGAACTCTGACAAACAGGGGAACAATGGGTCAGCTAGGGAATTCCACTGGTTGCAGAGGCTAAGAAGAAGGGACTAGAAATGCCCGGGAGGGTTGGCTGGCATGGTGGTCCAGGAATACTCTGGGAGGTGGTGGCATTTGTGTGGGGACCTGAAGAACAAGCAGGAGCTGGCCAGGAGAAGTTGTGGGGAAAGACTATTCCAAGAAGACAGAAGAGCAGAGCCCAGGTGGGGAGATGGGGTTGAGGGAGCTCTGAGAAAGCAGTCAGTGAGTGGCAGACCTGCCCCTGGGGCCTCTTACCCTCCTGTGCTGAGAGGCCCTGTGCTGTGCACACGCTTGGTGTCTCTGAGCTCAGTCTCCTCCTCTTTCACTGGGCAGGCATCACACTCTCCCCAAGAGCAGTGAAGGTTCAACGTCGTGTTTAGAACTGCACATGCAGCACAGTGCCCAGCCACAGCAGTCACTCGGTGGATGGGAAGGTCTTGTGAGAGCGATGTCCAAATGGCTGTGGTCTGGGGGAGGGGCTTCTAATCCTTCCTTTTTTCCTTATAGTTTCCTGCCCAGCTCTGAATGCTCCTCCAGACGGCAGGAAGTTTGGAAGCAAGTACCTAGTGGATCATGAAGTCCATTTTACCTGCAACCCTGGGTTCCGGCTGGTAGGGCCCAACAGCGTGGTGTGCCTTCCCAATGGTACCTGGACAGGGGAGCAGCCCCACTGCAGAGGTATCACCCCTCCTTCTCACTCCCTGGGCTGGACACTCCAGAGCACAGCAAGGGGTCTGTTGGATAGAAAGAGTCATCCTGGGGACACTTTCTGCCTGGTTCTTTTATCATTCCTCAACCCCTGCCAGGGGAATATATCAGATCCCTCGCCTCCACGTCAGGCCTGGGCTGGCCTCTATCTGCATGAGTTTGATTAACAGTCAAAACTAACTATATAGTCTTATTTTCCTTATAGAGAAAGTGATCACAGAGAGGTTAAGGAACTGATGCAAGGTTACCCAGGTGGGGTGGTGGGTGGATACTTTGACCCCAGAGTCTTTGGTTTTGGACTCCTCACTCTATCTTGGACTCTGATACCATATTTCATCCAAGTGAGGGCAGGAATCAGCTCTGTGGCTGGGAAGAGGGACAAGAAGTGACTGCAAGGAACCAATCCTCATGGTTGCTCTGTTCTGGGCTATAGTCTGATTGTGAGGCTGCTGGTGTCCTCCCAGTGGAGGAAGTTCCTTGGGTGACCTTTGAGTCTGCACTGGGACTTGATGTGAACAGCTCCAGGAGAGAGCTTTGGAGGGTGAAAGAGGCCTCAAAAGGCTTCTCTTCTTTCTGTGCCAATTTGAAAACAGTATCTTTTTTAATATCGAGAAAAGTAAGAGACTTAACACACATAATTTGTCAGCTTTTCAAAAGACTGTGGTCAGAAAAGCATGAATACCAGTTATTTTCAGATGTTTAGGGGACATCTGTTAGGGCAGAGTGTCCATGATTTTAGCCATATAGTCGAAGGGGGACTTAAATCTTCTATAAGTGATTAGGTTGCAAAGAATGGTGTAGAGAGAGGACTACAGTTTTTTGGTCACTGTTTTTTGTTGTTGTTGTTGATTTTTTTGAGACAGGGTTTCACTATGTTACCCAGGCTGGCCTCGAATCCTGGGCTCAAATGGCTCTTCTGCCTCAACCAGACACCATGCAAAGCCTCTGGGGGGAAATGCCAGTATCTAGTATTTAGCTGTGACCTGTGGACCTCTCAATCCCAGTTAAGCATCTTGTGGATGAGAAATGATGGCTGTGGATCTGGGTCCTAAAGAAATTGTATATTCATTGCTTTGGGTGTTTGTATTTAACATACAGGCTGAGTTACAGACCCCCTGTTCGTTCCTTTCTCAGTCCACTCAGCTTTATCATGGCCCATCTTCATCACAATCTGTGACCTACTACTGGCTGCCCTTGTGCTCCCTATATTGGACATCCACATCTCTCTGTCCCTTGCCTGGTCATGGACAGCTGTTTGCAGTCCATCCCTGGCCACTATAACAGTGCTGACATCTTGTCATCTCCCTACTTTGTCTCTGGACTGGGTATCTGTGGTTGGAGTTGGGGGATTGAGGGTTGCATGCTTACTTACTCCAACTGAGTGCTGAGGCATTGCTGTGCATGAGGCCTGTCCCAGCGGTGCTTCAGGCAGAAACACATTTTTCCTAAGTGCTATTTTTTTTCTTTCTTGTTCACATATTATCCAAATATTCTGTCCTTAACGGTGATATGCAATAACATACACTTACATAGGGAGCATCAAGTGATTCCAATGAAAAGGTGAGTTGATCAGAACACAGAGGGAGGAATGTGTTCTCAGGCAGATGGATAGAAAACATTAAAAGCGCAGGAATAGAGTCATACGAAGGCGTTGGATGTCAAAAGTGGGGCCCAAGGCACTCCTCATAGCCCAGCTCCATCTTAGATGCTTGATGAGGACATCTTCCCAGGGGCTCCTGGGATGTCAGCCAGATTACATCTTGACCTTGGGTGCTTTAGTCACAACTTTGGCACCTCTGTACTGAAGCAGGACTCCTTCAATAGAAGGTGTGCAGTGGTTCAACTTTCAGATGCTCCAGAATTACACAGAAAGTGGGCTGGTGGAGTGGCTCAAGTGGTAAGTGCCTGCCTAGCAAGCTCGAGGCCTCAAAAGTCCTACTGAGGGCTAGGTGTGGTGGCACATTCTTATAATCCCAGCTAGGTAGGAGGCATAAGTAAGAGGATCACAGTTGGAGGCTGTCCCCAGGCAAAAATTTGAGACCCTATTCGAAAAGTAACTAAGGGCTGGTGGAGTGTCTCAAGCAGGAGAGCACCTGCCTAGCAAACATGAGGCCCTAAATTCATACCTCAGTATCCCAGTCCTGTAAAAAAAAAAAAAAGACCTACTGAGTTGGGGGTCTTTACAGATGAGATGGGAAGTCTGTTTTTAATATATTCCGTAGGCATTACTGGTATTAGCTAAAATTTGAGAAACACCAGTTTATTCTTTCTGTTATTAGAAACAAAGAATACTGAGAATGTCAAGGTACTGATGGATTTGGGGCTGTCAACCACAGGCAACAGTAATCTGGGCATTTGTCTGCACTGGCCAGGGAAGGAATCTGTGCATGCATGCTGCCTCTAGCCCTGAGGTGTGGGGAAGGCTAAGCAGTCCTCACGAGATAGAGTCATGGAGGGCAGACACTCCCCAGAGGTTCACTGTGTAGAGCAGACGGTCCCACCTACCAAGCAAGGCAAGGTCTGCTGACCTTTTCCATGGGTGCACATAACACTTGCCCTTGAACTCACCAGTTCATTCCAGACTCCCTTCTGTTCTTTGTCTCCCTTTTTCCTCAAGCCTCCTTCCTGGTCTTTTGTTCTTCCTGTCTAACTTCCACACCAGAGGACTGCATGGTGCAGCCCATCTTGGACTTCTGCCAGGGCCACATTTACAGTCTAAAACTTAGGGAGGATTGGATCTGGGAACAAGGTGGTGGCCATGATGAGACCTCGGATGGACACTTTTCTTCTGTGCAAGTGTAAACTAGACACAGAAGTTCACGCTGTGTGAACAAAATACTTGTATGTCACAACCATGCTGCTGGATGTGACCTCTCCCAAGTTGGCTGCCTGTGCCTGTGTTGACACTTCTATTCCCAGCAGGAACTTATTTGATTCATGGATGTTGTCTTCAGCAAGAGCCTCAAAGCAACTCGAGTCAGACCTGTCAAGAGGGAGAAATAGTGTTTCCGTCTGCTGTTGGACGGCCAGTATTGGTGGCATGGATGGACACAGGCTGGAGCTTAGTGATCTAGTGGCCAGTCCTAGAATCTTAGGAGTAGTTACTGAGTGTAGCCACTTCACTTTCCATATCAGAGCCTCCTCACTGTGTGCTGTGAACACAGGGGGAAACAATCTTCTTATTTGTAGGAATTCACTTCAAGACCCCCAAATGTCAGTGTCAGTGAAAAACATGGCAACACTTCAGTAACCATCCCTTCCCCTCCCCAGTCAACTGCTTGGAAGGAGGGCAATGAACCTAACTTGGCATTGAAGAAATTACACATAATTATGCCATTAAAAACACAACAGGCAGAGGTAGACTTTAGAATGCCAGGGTGGAAAGCTGCCATTTGGCTTCCTGGATTTTTTTTTCTCCTTCTTTCTGTGAAGGACATGTTTTTGAGATGAGAAGTTTTCTGAATTAGGGGACCCATTGCTGCAGGGCTTGTCCCTTTGACAACAGGAGGAATCAAAGAAAAAACTTGAGAGGAATAAAATACCTTTGTCATTATCACCACACTGGGGGAAAAATGTTTTTGTTCCTAATCCTACTTTTTTGGGGGGGTAATCTTCATTCATTCATCCACCTTCCACTGAGCACCAGCTACGCACAAAGCATTGTGCCAAATGTAGAGATTCAATGCCGAGTCTAACTGGATGTTCACATGAGGAGCATCCAGGGGGGATACCACAGATCATGTGGGGACACAGAGCAAAGCAAATGGCTAAACACAACAGTGGATGAGTTGGCCTTTGGGGTGAATACTACTGATGACAGTATGGACAAATCTGGTCATGAGAAGAGTGGGTGGGTGGGTGGGTGGCAAGAGGAGGATGCCATTCCAGGACAAGGGAGTAACATGCCCAAAGAAGGGATCAGTTTGACATGTTTGAGGAAATGAAAAAATAAATGCAGAATGTCTTCACTGGGACAGTGTGTGTGAGCTGACTATCAGCAAGACGAGAGACACCCAAGCCAGCTGGTTTAGTGCCAGAGGCCCTACAGGCAGCAGGTTTTAGTCCTAAGTACAAGAAACAGGCTTAGGAAGAGGAGTGTCATGATTAGATTTGTACATTACTGCTGTGTAGAGAATCCATTGAAGGTGATAAGAATGATAAGAATGGAAGCCGGGAAGCTGCTTGAGTGGCCGTTGTAGAAATCCAGGAGACAGATTATGACATGGGAGAGTCAAGGAGTAGCGACACAACAGATGGCACTTGCTGCCATCCCATGTGGGCTCTGAGCCAAAAGAGGTCAAGGCTCACACACTTGGGTGGTAGGGTGCAGGGTGTCAGTCACAGAGATAATGAAGACTGGGTGACAGACGTAGGTTTGTTTTTTGCATGTGGGCCATTGACCAGAATTTCATTTGGACATGCTATGTCCGTGCAACACTGCAGTACAGATCCATTAATCCAACCCACCGATGTCAGAGGGGTGGGTGCAGTCTGGGGCTCAAGGGAGAGAAAGGGCTGAGATGCACAGCTGAATTAGGAGCATAGCATTTAACTCCTTGGACAGTGATAGAAGCACCCAGGAGCAGAGGCTGAAATGTGGCTCAGGACAGAGACCAAAGAACATTGAGAGGTCAAATGGGGGAGGATGAAGTCAAAAGAAGATAGGAAGAACCCGCTGAGGCAGAACACCAGGAGCAGGAGGCTGTGGAAAAGCAGGGTATGGGAGTTGGGAAGATGGCACTGGACTGGGGGCTTAGGAGGTTATTCTGCAACTGGAACGGAACACAGCTTCAGTTCATTTAATTCTGTGTCAGAAAGCTGTAAAGGGGGTGTGGGGGAGGGATTGCTCAGTGGTAGAGTGTTTGCATAGCATTTGTGAGGCCCTAGATAGGATCCCTAGCAATACACACACACACACACACACACACAATCCACTGGCTGGCTTATTTACAAATGATTAGTTAATGATG